CTCCCAGTAGGGCACGGTCGCCCCACAATCCCTTTTCCTCCATTTCTCCATCCTGTGAGGATTTGAGACATGCATACACATATGTCTGGGGTGTTTTTCAAGCTGCTTGGCCAAGATTTTAACTGTAGTCAGCCATTTGGGATCTCGGTCCCTTAACTACTTGTCTATGGTGTTAACTCTGTCATGATCTTTGTATTATGGTTTTCACTATTTATTTTCAGGAATTCTGGAGGCAGAAAGTTGAATTGCTTTCTAGCTAAGCCATTAGCTTTCAAGTTACCTCCAGTCTGTTTTTAGGGGATGGCACTTCTCAGCTTGAATTGTTACCATGTTCTAGTCTATCACTCCTATTTTAGAAGGTTGGTTCAACCAGTGAAACCCTGATGCTTTTCTTTCAACACCTCAGCCTTTTACCAGGAGACACAGCTTTTCATCCTTCTTTTGTTGATCATTTTTGTGTTAGCCATTTCATCTATTTGTCCTTCAATCTTCTCACCTATGAACTAGGCTAAGTAGCAGCAGAAGTCATTGTAAGGAGGAAATAAAATAACTGTGATGCTGAGATCTTTACAAAGCAAGACTGATATAGGGATAATCAGTTGTTCCATGAATTTTTTTCACAATCGCAATTATAATAAAATGAATGACAAGAACATTAGGAAAGATTGAATGACATTTTAAGTTTGGTTATTAACCACTGAGAAGACTTGAGCATTGAATAGCAGTGAGGGACTGGGGGCTGGAGTGAAACTGTTGTTTTTGTGATCAGGTAGTGACCTCTTCTGGGAAAAGAAAGAAGCTAGCAGGGCATCAGCATTAGGGGACACAAATGACATCTGCATCAAGACAACCAATGGTAGAGTAGATGGTACCTAGCAGGAAAAACTCTCCTGGTAAATTTTTGTCTTGGGCAGTCATGTAGAACAGAAATGAATGAACTGAAACCAAAAGGCATTTGTTGAATGATTTTTGAGCCCTCCCCAAGGTGGTCTTGGTATAAGGACTTAATGAAAGTCTGTAGACTGTTTACGCATTGTAGCAAGGATCCAAGAACCCAAGACTGACCTTTAGAGAAAATGGTTCAAAATGAGTCCGAATGAGAAATGTATTTCTGGGCAAAGAAAGGGAAAAGAAGGATTCTTTCAGATGGACATAACAAGGTTCAGAATGTGACGAGGTCTAGAACAGCAAATGACTTTGGCTCAGTATCCTGTGGGGGCAGGGAAGGCAAAAGTTCCTATTGCAATCTTGTTAATGGGACTGGGGATAGTGAAAATCATAGAAGGTTGTTTAATTCTCCACCAAACATTGGAATATTTATCTGCTACTTCAAGCTTTTGGGAGGAGGAAGACGTCAGCAACCATTGCATTCTTTTTTTCTGTGCACCTAAGGAATAGTCTATATTTAAGAGCAGAGCATTTTATCAGACACGTTCTGCATTGGGCAGCACTGGATAACATATTACCAAGGACATGTAAGACCAAGGATGTGGGCCATGGCTCCCCCTCAGACTTATGGTGTAGGGCTGGTGGAGCACATCGTCTTACTCTTTCATGAGTGGGATTGGAAGAACTGGATTCAGAGAGGAAGGGACTTGCATAAGGCAACTCAGAAATGCAGAGAAAGATGTCAGATTAGAGCTGGGTCTTCTCACTACCTCTTCCTTCCTGTTACTAGTCACTCCTCTTTCATCTTTTAGTAGCCCTTCGCTGTAAACTAAAATGACTAGTAATATTAATATTGCCTACAGATCAGATTGATTAATATTATGGTAGCTACAATGTTTAAGTAATTACATTATACTAGTCTCCATTCATTAATTTATTTAACAAATATTTGTGTAGTGCCTATGTTGTGTGAGGAACTGGGAACACAATAGTAAGTAAAAAATGAGAAGCTCAACATTGAAAAAAATCTCATCAGCAAAGATAAAATTAAAGCTGTAAAACTTCTGGAGCTAACAGAGTTGATGCTGTAAGAAATTACGATGGTAAGAAAAAATTGTAGTCCAGGAAAATGTTCTCTAAGTGACAATTGTATTCATCTGTTGCTTGGCTCTAAAATCTCAAGGTCAAGATATACTATAAAGCTGTGATAATTAAAACAGCATAGTATTGGCAAAAAAAGACAGGTGGACTAATGGAATAGAATAGAGACCCAAGAAATAAACCCGAAGATTTACAACCAACTGATTTTTTTTTTGAGAGATTTTTACTATAGGGCGTGTGTGCTCGCCAGAAAGACAGAGAGACAGAGAGATAGAAAGCGAGAAATCACCCCCAGGGGGATGGCCACGCTGCAATCCCTTCTCCTCCATTCTCCTCTCAGGATCTTGGGCATGCACACACATGCACCCAGCATGAGTTTAAGACACCAGGTCTGGGACTCAAACTGTGGTCAGCTACATGGGAGTTCAGCGACAGCCATTATGCTAACTGCTGGTCCCTAGCCAACTGATTTTTGACAAGGGATACCAGTCAATCCAGTGGGAAAAGGAAAACCTCTTTAGTATACGGTGCTGAATAAACTGGGTATCCACCTGCGGAAAGATGAAACTTGATCCCCATCTTTCACCATTAACAAAAATCTACTCAAAATAGATCAAAGATCTGAACCTAAGACCTCAAACTATAAAACTACTGGTGGAAAACACTGGGGAAACTCTGGGAAACATTGGGGTAGGCAAAGACTTCTTAAATAAGAGTCCCAAAGCATGGAAATAATCCCTAAAATAGACAAGTGGGACTATATCAGATTAAGAAGTTTCTGCACAGCAAAGGACATAGTAATTAGTGTGAATTGACAACCCTCAGAATGGGAGAATATTTTTGTAAACTATGCCTCAGACAAGGGATTGACAACCAAAATACACAGGGAACTCAAGCAGCTTACTCAAAAAGAAATGATTAACCCAATTAAAAGATGGGAAAATGAGCGGAACGAAAATCTCTCTAAAGAAGAAATACAAACAGCCATAAAACATATGAGGAAATGCTCAACATCCCTCATCAAAAGGGAGATGCAGATTAAAATCATAATGAGATACCACCTAACCCCTGTTAGAATAAAAGATTAAAAATACAAAAAGTGATAAGTGTTGGCAGAGTTGTGGTGAAAGGGGAACTCTCCTACACTGTTGATGGGAATGTAAATTAGTCCAGCCACAGTGGAAAACAATATGGAGGTTCCTCAAAGATCTACAAATAGAACTATCATTTGATCCAGCAATCCCACTTCTGGGTGTCTACCCAAAGGACAGGAGAATGCACAGTTGGAAAAGTACTTGCACATCAATATTTATTGCAGTATTATTCATGACTGCTAAAACTTGGAACCAATCCAAATGTCCACAAACAGATGAATGTATTGAAAAAGTGTGGCATATATACTCTATGGAATACTACTCAGCCATAAAAAACTAGACCCTGGTATTTGATAGAAAGTGGTTGAAAATGGAAGATTTATTGCTGAGTGAAGCAAGCCAAGCTATGAAAGAAATATATTGTATGTATCTACTTAATATATATCAACTACCTGCACTCTATGGTAGAGATTGAAATGTTGGAGGTCTTAAAAGCAATGAAAATAGTTATGGACACTGAAGAAAGTGCTGGGGGTTGGGAGGGAGGAGAAAGAAAGAGTATAGAGAATGAAAGCAGAAGAAAAAATAGAGAACCAGGACATTTGTGGGACACATAAATGGTTTATTACCTTTTGATGAATATGTATATTATTCTCAACTAGACTGGTCTGGAAAGTATTTCATGTTAGGTAAATTCTCTTTATAAGCAAATGATATATAATAAGTGAATATTTTTTTAAAAAATAACAAGAATTAAAAAAAAATGAGGGGCTGGCAAGCAGCATGGTAGTTAAGAGCATTGGACTCCTACATGGCTGACAGTGGTTCGAGTACTAGACCTGGCATTTTTTTTTCTCACTTTCTCTCTCTCTCTCTGTCCCTCTATGGGCAAATTAAAATGAGTAAATAAATAATGTTGAAATAATTCTTTTAGGGACCAGCAGTTAGCGTAAAGGCTATGTCACTGGGCTCCCACGTAGTCAACCGCAGTTCGAGTCCTGGACCCGGTGGCTTAAACTCAACGCTGGGCGCATGTACGGGCGTGCCCAAGATCCCGAGAGGAGAATGAAGGAGAAGGGATTGCAGCGTGGCCATCCCCCCTGGGGGGGGTGATTTCTCGCTTTCCGTCTCTCTGTTTCTCTCTGTCTCTCTGGCGAGCGCACACACCCTATAGCAAAAACTTCTCCAAAAAAAAAAATTCTTTTAAAAAATAATAATCTGAAAAAAATGAAAAGACATTTGCTGATGATGATGTGGAAAGTTATGTCTTTGTCTTGACTAATACGTATGGTAATTGTGCTAGAAAAAGAAATGTTATACACTGTAAAGGTATATGTGATTAAATGTAATGTAAAAAAATACAATGAAGTCTCAGGGTCATCTTTACCTCCTCCCATTTTACTATATTCTATATTCCTTTTTCAAAAATAATAATTTAATTTTATTTTATTCATCATAATAATCATTATTATTTTAATTAAACAGAGAGAGATGAAGAAAGAGAGAGAGAGGGAAATTGAGAAAGCAAGTCGCCAGGTCTAGGACTTGAACCATGGTCCACCATGTGGGAGTCCAGCACCTTAACCACCATCTCACCTGCCATGCCCTCTTATGCTCTATATTCTATCCATCTTACTTGACATAGGTTCAGAATTCACCTACTTCCTATCACCTCTGCTGCTTCCCACGGTTGCCCAGATATCCTATCTCTTCCCTGTATTGTTGGAATATGGCCTCTATGTTCTCACTCTTGCCTCCCCATGGTCAAATACATTGTGACAATGTTGGGTCCGCCAACTTTTAAGTCTTGTAACTGCAGGGCTTCTCAGAGGCTTTCATGTGGTAACCAACACCCTGCTAGAAGACACTAATATAGGCACATTACTGACATTTGACCACCACATTTTTGCCTTATAGTGCATCTCATACAACTGCTGTTCTGTGGAAGATCTTCTAGAAAACCAGAAAGTGTTTATAAAATATATTATGTAAAGGATTTTTAAATGGAGCCACTTACAATGATATCACTGATCTAGGAGACAAATTATGAATTCTAGGAGCAGTTACCTTCATCTAAGTTGTGCGGCCTTGGGTAAGTAATTTAATTTTTCTGAGCTTGTTTTTTTTTCAACTGTGAAATAACAGGTAGTAATTCCTGTTTTGTGTACTTTGCTAGGCTCTTGGGAAAATAAAATGCATCCTCTTCTCACTAAACCAAACCCAAAGAGAACCCAACATCATTATTGTGGTTGTGTGGACACCTAGAAAAATATTAATATTTCCAGTTACATCATCTTTCCACTTAATCAAGGTGCAACAAGTTAACGATGGGTTTATTTATTTCAAGCAACAGAAGTAAGATCTGAGGTGTTGGTGATTAGAAATCACACAAAACAACAAAATTATGAATTGACTGGAGAGTGGCAGTCTGTAACATACATGATAATAGCTTGTAAAAAGCTAGGTACCTTTCTATGCCTTTTCCCCCATTTTATTGATTCGCTAATGAACTTAATTAATCTAAGTATTTCCAATAGTAAGCACAGCTGATATATACATATCCATGAACACAGGTCTGACTTTAGGCATAAACCTCAGTGAGTAGAATGAACATACTATAAAGTTTCACCTAGCTGGGGCTATATAACTTACTGAAGTCATCCAATATACATTTTTTTTTTTAATTTCAGGAAAAACAGTTTTCATGTTTTTTTTTTCCCCCTGGAACTTTTTTTTAGTTAATTAATGTACATTTATCCCCTAAGCATCGTCACAGCATACAAAATGTGGTTTCCCATCCAGAATATACTGCATATAGGCTTAATCATGCATGTTATCATTGACGATAACATGTATGTTGATGTGCTTGATTGAGCCAATATACAGTGTATTCTGGATGGAAAATGTCATTTTGTATGCTGTAATGATGTATAGTAAATGAATGTAAATAAATAAATGTAAATAAATTTAAATTTTAAAAAATGAGCAAAGAAAAAACAAAAAGCCAGTTACCTGTATAGCCTAACAGAAAGAGTGAAAAGAGCAGGGGTCATGTGAAAAAGGCTTGAGAGAGAAAAAACAACTCCATGGGGAGAAGGCTATAAAACTGCAATGATGCTGGTAAACAACTTATTATCACCTTAGCTAATGGTGGTGGCATATGAAAGGTCTTCCAAATGTTCATGGAAAATACATATTATGAAAATATTATGCATAGATTTCAAATTTTTTGCACCAAAATAAACTTGTATTTTAATTCCATTTTTCACCAAATATTTTTCAAATTTATTATAGAGCATATGCTCATCAATGTGAGAGTGAGTGAGAGAGAGAGAGAAAGAGAAGAGTAACCTCCACAGAGTCTAGGCATGTCATGATCCTCCTCTTCCAGTCCTCCAGCCCATCAGATCCTGGGCACTCATGCCAATGCCTGGCATATTTCAGGTTTGACTTGGCTAAAGATTCAAACCTGGGTTGCTATGTGGGATCCAGCTTCTCTAGAGCAATACATTACTGCTGCACCATGGAGACGGGGTCCATGGGCTTTGTACAGTCCCCTGGCAGTGCTCTGCAGCCACTCAATGGCTTTGGGAGTGGTGATTTGGAGTCAGTGGGCCAATGTGGAAACTCAAAGCTGGAAAAGTTCTGCAGGTCTTTATAAAGTGTTGATTCAGAGTATTTGGTTATACTTAGACAACCAGGACCAGGTCTGCGGATGTGTTAATGAATTCTCTTCTATACCCAATCTCTGCTGAGTTTTTTTAATCCCTGGGGATTAGGTAACCTTAAATTTACGATCCTAATACCCCAGACTAATTGGGCCGAGCCTTTACAGAGACAATGATGATAATGATAATTTCAATGACACTGTTGATAATGATGACAAAAACTACAGCATCCATATGGCACCTTCAAAACTGTGCCCATGTGAGCCATGCTGTAGGCACACTAAGGTTTTATACTTTTATTTCCCTTGTACCCTGTTATTCTTGCTTTCTTAGAACTCATCATTCTGAATGGTAATTATCTGTCCCTACTAGACTGAGAGATCTTGAAGAATAGGGAGTGTCTCTCGTTCATTGTCGTATCTCTAGTGCCAGGTGCATAGAAATTCCCAAAGAACAATTGGTGATTGAATATGTGAATGGATAAACATAGAAATAGCTTGTGTAGTATAGCCAATATAAATAAATTAGACAAAACGTTTAATTTTCATTTTCAGATGGAGTCTCATTGTGTTGCTATCCTACTGCCTTGACTTCCCAAACTGCTAGGACTACAGGAGTGTGCCACCATGTCTAGCAAATGTTAGGGTGAGCTAGGAATCAAACCTGGCCTCCAACGTGACCTCAGTATGCTGAGTAGCAGTGCCAACAAGTGCGTACTACCCTGGCTAGGGCAGACAAATCACTGTCATCACTTTTTCCTAATCATAAAAAGAGTCTTAATTTTTTTCTGATACAGCGAAAAAGCGAGTGGGTTGATATCATCTTAAAATATTGTCCTTTCTGCAGTCATACCTTGACCAATATATCTTGAACTATTGAGGGGGACAGGGCCAGTATTCATTGTCCAAATACATTGCAGTTAATTTTTTGTGTTACTAAAATGTTATTAGGTATTGACACATGAAGACAAAGGCTATGATTTTTTTTCTCTGTTATGCAGTGAATATCTAAGAACTGTGCCTGCCACCTGGTTAGCACTCTGTCAACATTTATCAGAAGAATGAATAAATAGCTACGGGGTGTTCTTTCATTTTTGTATGAGTCCATTTATAGGGAACTTTAAGGACAAAACATTTTTCCACCTATCTCCAGACCTTAAGATAGAACCTCTAGTGTCCCAGGCAAGAACTCAATAAAATTAAAAGGTTTCTGTTTGCACACAGCTATTTACCAGGATTGCTAAGCAAACAGGAGAAATGGAACAAAATGATTAAAAAAAAAAATCCACAGTGTTTTCCTGTGGGATTTTCTGAGGTCTTTCATAGCACGACCAGTGACTGATTAAATTGACTTCTTGGAGGAAAGAGAAGAGGAAATAAAATGGACATTATCATGGACTTTGTCTCTTGTGAGCCGGGTGGCTTTGACTCCAGCTCTGTCCAGCCTGTGCTACGCTTGGACTTTTGAAGTGGCCTGTAGTTGGGTACATGGGCCAATGGCATTGCCTGGAAACATGGGTAGGCTGAGGCCAGGGAATGTTGGCTGAGAGCAGTGACCTGGCCTTTCTCAGAAATGAGGGCTCATTATGTAACAGAATCCAGGTGACGGTACAGTCAAGGCGCAGGGAGTGCTAGCTGGGCTCAGGTTATCAGCAGTGGTACCTTAATTACCCAGATCAGTAAAGGACACAAATATTTAGATAGCTGCTCAGTTTCTCACAACTAGGGGACCATAGCTCACAAAAAAATGTTGAAGGTCATTTCTTTTGCGATAAACATTATTGCCCCTATTGAATAGATGAGGAAACTGAGTCTTGGGAGTTACATTAAGCTTGCTTATAGTTATCTAAGCATGAACTGTTAGAGCCTGATCTGAACTTTGGATGCCCCATTCTAAGTTTTGTCCTTATAACAAGAACCTAAGTTGCCTCAACTTTGTGCGACCCAGAGACTGGGAATGTTCAACTCATTGTCAAGACCTATTTATCGACATGCTCTGAATCTTGCCTTCATCACTGGAAATCTACTGGGATGGAGACACATTCAATGATGTCAACAGATTTTATTTTCCTCTGGGGGTTGGGACATGCAGCTTCATAAGAGGATGCGAGATAGATGATCAACAGGGATTCAGAACCCTGAGAGTTTTTAATAATTTAGAAACTTCAGTCACTTTCTAAGTGCCAGGTAGAGTCTTGCAGGCTCTAAGTGCAGGAGCTCCCCGATTCCTTGCAGTCACTTTATGAGATATCTATTATTACCATCTCCATATAGTGGAGAGAGGACTGAGACTCAGAGAGGTTGATTTGCTTGAGGTTGCATAGCCAGAAAGTAGAAGAGCTGGGCATCAGTTTGAGGCAGATTAACTGTTTAATCCTGGTTATGCAGATGCTTGTTACATAATAGTAGACTACACCAATTTTTTTTTTCAAAGTGGTCCTAGAGCCAGCAACATTGGCATTAACTGGCACCTTGGTGAAGATGCCAGTTATTAGCCCCATCCTAGATCTACTGAATCAGAAACTCTGGGGTTGGGGCTCAACCCTCCAGGTTTTAGAAGCTTTCCAGTGGGTACACACTCAAGTTTGTTAACTTCTGTACTATACCATATTCCTATCCTCTAAAAGAAAGGGTTACTTAGAACCCTAAGATTAGATAGCGAGCATAGAGTCTCGGGGAAGGTGCTTTTCCTATAAGTACTGTTTCAGGGCCATGGACCAGACCTAAGAGAATAGAGTAGAAGCAGAATATCTTCAGAAAGAGGGTGTAATATGGAAGAATATTGAAAGAGGGGAGATCATAGCCACTTTTCTAGAATGTGATGTGTCGTAGGGTAGGTAATGTTCATATACTCAGGTTCATTAAGGTCAAGTAACAAGGCCAAAGCTGTGTAATTAAAGTAAATTATGGACTCAGATCCAACCTCCTGATTCCTCACAGAGTATGTTAAAACTGCATTTTCTCTCCAGAATAGTGTGAGTCATGATTTCAGAGATACACTGCATCAGTAGAAATCCTTCGTAGTAACTGTCACATCTTTTTGGATGAGATGACCCAGTATCAGGAGAGAATAAAAAGTATAGTAAGTTGGTGGTCGCAGGACGGAAAGAGGATGAAGGGATTCAGAGTCAGTAGGGAGACAGCCTTCCTAATACCCCTCTAGAACTCATAGCCGTCACCTCACCGTAATCATCCTGGTACCATTTATTGAGCTATAAGTGCTTTAACGTCTCAGAAGCCATACAATGTAGTGGAGGTGACCTTGACTTTTATTTCCAGTTTTGCCAGTGACTCCAAGTGGGTCATTAAAACCCTTTGATAATCGTTTCTTATCTGCAAAATGAGAATCATCAGAGTTCCAACTGCACAGGATTTGAGGGAAGTTTCAAACAGATAAGTTAGGTAAAACCCTTTGCAAATTGCCT